GCTGCCAGAAAACTTATTCAAGATATGGAAGATGGAACTTCATTTATTCATAAACATCCAAGAAATGTGGAAAAAAGCTTACCAAACTCACTTATTCGTACACAAATTGTAAAATTGGGTATAATGTATAATTTGGCTTCTAAATATACAAGGTAATTTTTTATAAATTTTTCTTAACGTATTATTTTTTTATAGCTAATATGAACATTAATCATTTTTTGATATATTTAGTTTTCTTGCAATTGATGAAAGAGATAATGAGTTAGTGGCTGAAGCCAAAAGTTTACCAAGCCAAAGAATAGTTCCAGTTTCTGCTGCTGCTACTTATTCAGCTTATCAATCTCCTGCTTCAGCTACTTGTTACTCTAGATCAGCTGCTTATTCTTTACCTCCTCTTCCTCCAGCTTTACAAGTTTCTTCAGCTGCTAACGTTTCTCCAGCTGCTATGCCTTGTTCAGTTACTATTTATAATCCAAGTCAAGCTAATTTTTTCTCTGCACTTTTGACTCGTAAAGCCTCTCCACATTCTAATTCTTCTGAATCTATGAATTGTAAGTAATATATTATTATAATCCAAAAGCAATTCAATATAATGTATAATTTGTTAATGTTACTGGGTTCTTCTCATGGATTAGTACCTCAATATCCAGTAGGTAGTGATTCTGTTATGCGGGCTGGTAGTGTATCAAACACATCCAATGCAGCATCATTTTCTTCAAGTCCAATTCGTTATAATATAAGTCAACTGTCTTATCAGTCTCATTCTATGCCTTTGAATAATGTGATTCAACAACAAGTAATTCAACAACAAGCGATTCAACAACAAGTAATTCAACAACAAGCGATTCAACAACAAATGATTCGACAACAAGTGAGAAAAGCTTCAGCAGGAAAACGTGCAAGAATTGGAATCGAGGCAACTTATGAATCTTTTGAACCAGTTTTACCAGCTATATCTGTAAAATCAAAACCTCCAAATATTGAAACTCTTTATAATTTTCTTAATTTCCAATCATTTGATGGTTCATTTTTACCATCTACTAAATTTTATTCTTGGTTTAGTAAAAATGATTTTAAAGATTTTGA